TCTGGTGGTAACGGCTCTCCTACTTCGTCTGGTGGTAACGGCTCTCCTACTTCGTCTGGTGGTAACGGCTCTCCTACTTCCTCCGGTGGAAACGGTTCTCCTACTTCCTCCGGTGGAAACGGCTCCCCCACTTCGTCTGGTGGTAACGGTTCTCCTACTTCCTCCGGTGGAAACGGCTCCCCTTCTTCCAGCTCTCCTGCCAACTCTGCCAGTAACTCTGGCGGCAACGGTTCTCCCACTTCCTCTGGTGGAAATGGATCGCCTACCTCTTCTGGTGGTAACGGTTCTCCTTCCAGCTCTCCCGCCAACTCTGCTAGCAACTCTGGCGGCAACGGTTCCCCATCTTCCAGCCCTGCCGGAAACCCCAGCAACACCCCCAGTGCCACTACCAGCGGCGGAAACACCACTCCTACTGGTACCAACTACAACCCATGCCCCGGTGCTCTCTACAGCCAAGCTCAGTGCTGCAGTGTCGATGTTCTCGGCGTTGCTGACCTTGACTGCAAGACCCCTTCCCACGGCTTTGACAGCAAGGCTGGATTTGAGGCTACCTGCGCTGAGACTGGTCAGCAAGCTCGCTGCTGTGTTATTCCCGTGCTTGGTCAAGATGTTCTTTGCACTGGTCCCGCTCCTGGCGGCAATCCTACCTCTTCTAGCGGCAATGGTTCTCCCACAAGCTCTGGTGATAACGGATCTCCTAGCTCGTCTGCTGGTAACGGATCTCCCTCGTCTTCTGGTGGCAACGGCTCCCCAACAAGCTCCGGCGGTAACGGTTCCCCTACTAGCTCTGGTGGCAACGGCTCCCCAACAAGCTCCGGCGGTAACGGTTCCCCTACTAGCTCTGGTGGCAATGGCTCTCCTTCTAGCTCTGGTGGTAACGGATCCCCCAGCAGCGCGCCTAACAGCGGCTCTCCTACCAGCTCCGGCAACACTACCCCTACCAACCCTCCATCTGGTGGCGAGTACGACCCCTGCCCTGGTGGTCTCTACAGCCAGGCTCAATGCTGCAGCGTCGATATTCTCGGTGTTGCCGACCTCGACTGCAAGACTCCCCCCCATGGCTTCGATAGCAAGGCTAGCTTTGAGGCGACCTGCGCCGAGAGCGGCCAGGAGGCTCGCTGCTGCGTTATTCCTATCCTAGGCCAGGATCTGCTTTGCACTGGCCCTGCCCCTGGTGGCAACCCTCCTACCAGTTCTGGCGGCAACGGATCTCCTAGCTCCTCTGCTGGCAACGGCTCGCCCACATCCTCTGGTGGTAACGGATCTCCTACTTCCTCTGGCAGCAATGGTTCTCCCACTTCTTCTGGCAACGGCTCGCCTAGCTCCTCTGGTAACGGCTCTCCCACTACATCTGGCAACACTGCTCCTACCAACCCTCCTTCTGGTGGTGACGACTACAACCCTTGCCCTGGTGCCTTGTATGCTCAGGCTCAGTGCTGCAGTGTGGATGTCCTCGGTGTCGCCGATGTTGACTGCAAGAACCCTCCTCATGGCTTTGATAGCAAGGCTGGATTCGATGCCACATGTGCTGAGAGCGGCCAGAAGGCTCGTTGCTGTGTTATCCCTGTTCTCGGCCAGGACGTCCTATGTACCGACCCTGCTCCTGGTGGCAACCCTCCTGGTAACCCTCCTACCAGTTCTGGCGGCAACGGATCTCCTAGCTCCTCTGCTGGCAACGGCTCGCCCACATCCTCTGGTGGTAACGGTGCTCCCACATCCTCTGGCGGTAACGGTGCTCCCACTTCTTCCGGCAGCAACGGTTCTCCCACTTCTTCCGGCGGCAACGGTTCTCCTACCAGCTCTGGTAGCACTACTCCCACCAACCCTCCCAGCGGCGGCGACGACTACAACCCTTGCCCAGGCGCACTCTACGCCCAAGCCCAGTGCTGCAGCGTTGATGTCCTTGGCGTAGCTGATGTTGATTGCAAGACGCCTCCCCACGGTTTCGATAGCAAGGCTGGATTCGATGCTACCTGCGCTGAGAGCGGCCAGAAGGCCCGCTGCTGTGTCATTCCTGTTCTTGGTCAAGATGTTCTCTGCACTGATCCTGCGCCTGGCGGCAACCCACCTAA